TATCGAGCGATAAAAAAGAAATCGGAAGGTTGGCCCAGATGTTGGTCGGGTCCAAGCTTTTCCTCTTTCGGCTACGACGCTAAGCTAGATACGGTATTATTATGGAATTTTTGTATGGATCTGGAGGGGTATGGGACTTTTGATTGGCTGTACCCCAAGCGATATGGCAAATTGGGGGAAACCGGAGGAGGCGCTTCACTCTGGGAGGTTTAAAATAAAAGATGTTAATCCTTGTTTAAGATTGTTGAATATGTTGAATATGACGCAGACGGGATCGTGAGGCACTACAAGCAATAAGAGCCATGGAGAGAGGCGCCTATTTAGTATTTACTCTGTACACTTAATGTGTGACTATGTACTCGGTATGTCGTCGCTCCTGCAAACAATGTATGTACTATGTAGTATATGGTATTGTCACTCTCCTCTTTGTGCTCTCCTCTTTGTGCTCTCCTCTTTGTGCTCTCCTCTTTGTGCTCTCCTCTTTGTGCTCTCCTCTTTGTGCTCTCCCCTTCCGTCTCACGATGGGCGTCCACAATGAGGCCACCAGGAAAAGCATTCATTAATTCCATGGCACTTGAGCACCTCCCTCCATCTGTCAGCATCCGGTCGGTTCATGCTAATTACCTAGGTAGGTACCCAAGGTATTCATAACCCTGATGTTCATAACCCTGATGATATATGCACGAATGTGCCAATGAATTCGAATTTATGCAAATCGGTGCGGGGTTTACAGTTTACAGTTTACAGTTTGCAGGACTTCCCTAGGTAGGTAGAGAAGAGTCCGGTTCCTAGACCATCCTTCGTACAATCTACCGTATACCCCAGCACGTGCCCAGGTAGGCGACTATCTACACGATACTTTCTTGGCTTGGAGGAATGCAATGTATTTTGTGTGTGTTCTCTTGCTTTTCTTTTCTTAGCCCTCTTCCATCTCTTCCATCTCTTCTTTTTCTTCCTTCTCGTAGTCCCCTTGCCTCTCTTAGTCCTCTAACCCCTCTTAAGCAATGTCATATCAAACGCTGCACAAACATTCCCAATCATCAAACTTATTACGATATACCCTCACAAAAACAAACACATCCAATCCCATCTGCTGCATGATATGCTGCTACTCACGGAAAATCCTTCATCATCGTCATCTTGACCACTTTCCCATGCCATTGCTGTCATAACACATGCACAACACATCTCCCTACATACACAATTTCAAGAATACCACACCACGCCGTAAATCTCCACCTAAAAGAAAAAAAAACCCTTCCACCCCATCCCACTTCTCCATTCTCCAAGTCTCCAGATATCCAATCTCCTCTTTTCGCTCTTGCCCTCCAGAGATGATCCTGTCACCTGGGATCCGCTTTAATTCGGCCACAAACTCTTTGAACATACTCCGCGTTTGGGATCCACTTCCATATATCCACATTTTGCTAAATAAACCCCCCCTCCCCAGATCAAAATCTCATGCAGCTAATCCGTTCATAGTCACATGATGCTTTTTTAAGGTCTCAATCTTGGTCCCTTTATACCTTAGATCGATCCGGTCTCTTGTGGTCAAGACCATGGCTTCATCGGCAATCCCGCAATATTTGATGAGATTCATAAGAGAGAAGAACTTTCTTCGTAATAAAAAAATCTTACATCCTCAAAATTGTCTTGAATTCCTATCCTTCCCGAACCGCTCATATACTCTCATCACAATTCTTCAGCCCAACAATAAACCCCCCCCCCCCCCAGCAAGTTTAGGCGCCACTCTTTGAGAATATCGCAAAATGAGGGAGAAGCAAGAGAAACACTGCCATCAGCAGAAATTGGGGGAAAAAACATCCCTTCACTTCACCGAACAATAATAGAAGTATCCGAGTCACCCTGGTTAACCTTTGGATCTATGCTTTGACGCTGCTAAGCGCCTCTATCAGCGAGGGTTATTACGAAAATAAAACGCATGTCAACATGCCATGCATGTATGTGCATCCCTAGGCTCTCTTCGAACCAATCGCTTCTATATTGGGCATTGAGACATATTTTTTTTCTTACGGATTTACTTCATGTCGATCACAAAAGTCAGTAATGTACCATTTCCGAAGTGGCTATGTATTCGTTGGCGATGCAGATGTGTTGATACCTTTCTTCATCTCATAAACCTGTTAACGCTCGCCGTGCAAGTACCATGGCGAACTTTGGGATCTCTAGGCAGTCAAGTACCTGCATTTAGGTGCAGCCCAAATGTTTTGACTCATTGTTCTCAAAGATAATGCAAACTCGTGGGGTTTTACCCTCAAAATGCATCATTCTTAGTTTAGAGAAAAGTTTGATTTTCCAACAGAAATCCAGTGATGCTACAAAACATCCACAAAAATAAAATGATGCACTTTTCATTCTACAAACTCAATTTGATCATTTATCTAGACGAACGGGATGATTATCCGAAACCCCGAAATCAACCCAATTCCTTCAGGACAACGAGCATAGTTCAGTCGCTTCTTTGGTCAAGTACAAAGAATTGAGTTTATGCGCAGTGAGTACTATTTTCTTAGTCTTGAGTCCCCGAAAAGCTTGTTGCGTTCGCTCTTCGTCTCATTTGAGAGTATGCATTCGCGAGCTCACGTTCTACATCACAAATTGAAACGAGTAAAATGCAATCACAATCTCCATGTTTGAATTCTGCTCGAGTACCAGACAATCATAATTTCACATTTAAATATGGTTTTTATTGTTCCAATGAAGTTATCGAGGTTTTCTTGGCTGGGTCTATTTTTACCCTAAAACAAAGAAATACCTAGTATTCATTCTCTGTTGTCATCCTCATACCGGTTAGGTCATTTTGCTACAATCACAAATCATCTTTCTATTTCACTCTTCCTAAGTCATTGGGGAAAATCATTTTTTGTAAATCAGTACTTTGTTTGGTTTTTTATGGGGGGGGGGTTTTATTGTTGCCAGACTTCCATGGGTTTATCTTTCTCCGCGCAGAGTATATCACCAGGATATATCTACGACTTACCTTATTTAACCATGTGAAAAGTTATAATGAAAAAGTCTACTCCTCATCGAAATCACCAACTGTACCAGAATCAGATTCCAACCATAAGTTCTCACGAATCATGCTAAGTAATTCTGAGAGGCTACCATCGGACTCACTTGAAACTGTTGTAGAATCCTTATAAAGAGGGTCTGACGGTAACTTCGGTGAGGTCTCCGTAACCATTTGTTCTGAATCTTGAATTCGTTGTTCGGGTGATTGGAGTTGGATCTGTTTTTGGAGTTCAGCAAATGCTTCATTTTGATCTGTAAGTCCTTGGTCTTCATCGACATTAGTAATCTTACAATCTGGACAATTACAATATGTACCTTCAGGCAAGGCTTGATGATAAAGCTCTGAGCAAGAAGAACAGAGGCAACGGTAATCGTAATCATGCGCTTCCATCTGCTCACCTGTGGATTGTGTTTTTCGATATTGAATACAATGAATGCACCAACACCTCGTGTTTTTAGTGTCGTGGAACCAATGAGGTTCCATGCTGAATACTTCCGGGTTTTCGATGTCGCAGCGGAATTTTTGGGCTTCGGTTGGGTGCAAAATGTCGCCAGACTCGTAGTCTTCTATCAATTCGCCAAAGTTCATAGTCTCAAACCCTTCTAGCATATTGGGAACAAAGTCGTTGTCCGTTGTTTCAGAAGTTTTTGGAGAGAATACTTTGCCAAAATCAATTGGAGATGGTAAATCGAGTTCAAGTAAGGGGGCTTGAGCTCGGATCTTTCGCCGGGGTACCTCGGATATCCTGGGGGCGTTCTCTTTACCTTTCCGGTCGAGATCATTACTATTGCCGATAACGAATGTGGTTTGGCGAATGTTTGAAGATATGTTAAATCTTGGAGGAGGACACTGGAGGTTGAAGGAAGATTCTCGTGGGTAGTCTGAGCTGTTGCTTAGGGAGTTTGGTTGTTCGCTATCTTTTGCTCGACTGTAAAATTCTTGTGTTAATCTTTCTTGTTGTTTGAGTTGGAGAAGTAAATCATCCAAATCATCCTCGTTGGAATCTTCGACATCGCCATCATACATATTGTCTAGTGGGACTGTGTCGAATTCTTCCTCTCCCTCTCTTGGAGCTTCGAGAATAAACTCTGAGCTGTTGTTGAGAGGTAGGTGAGAAAAGGCCCAAGATGGTTCTTCAAGCATGTTGTCGAAATCAACACTGGTGAAATTCCAGGATGGCATCTTGGAATTGTTTTGTGTGTAGTTCTAGTGTTGTCTGATACAATTAAACTCTAATGATGAGATGATGAGTATTGATAGAAGTCTAGCTTACTACGAATATTGATCTTGTCAGGTAGAGTTTGTATATGAGAGAACACTTGGTCGGTACTTAATGGATGATATATACATCAAAATCTCGCAGCATTTATACCACTTTACGAGCACTTGTTCTGAAATTCACGAACAACGGTATATTTGCATTGTAAAAATTATCAAGCAATACATCTACACAATTTTGTCTCCCTATCATGCCACTAATATCGCGTTCATTAGGGAATGGGCTACACAGAAAGAAATTTGAACAGAGCATGAAAGGAAAATAAAACTTCTCAAAGAATTTGGACTTTCGCTTAGATATATACAAAGGAAGTATTCTTTTGGCTTTGTTTTTTTTTCATGAACAATGAACGAGTACTGAAACGTACAATGTATTTGTTTTCCCTTTCATGATTTCTTCATAAAGAAGTCGTTGTTCTTTGTTAAAGAACAGATACATATACTTCCATCAACACAGATGTCGAACAATTCCATTCTTTTACTCACGCATATCTTTTCAACGCAACAGAACAAGAATAACTCGAGTAAGTAAATCTTTTATTTTATACTATCATACTTATACACATATTTCATCACTTCAATCATAACTCTTAAACAATTATACTAGCGCTGGTCGCATAGAAATATTTTCATCATTTCATACACGCAAACGAAAGAAGAGAAAAGCAAAACAGAAACAAAAGCAAACATGGGAAATAATAAAAACAGACGTAAGAACTCCAATTCTGGTGGTGGTGCTAATGATTCTAGTCCCAGACGCAACAATAAGAAAGGAGGAGATAGAGGTAAGGGAAGAAATCACAAGAGCGAAAATGAAGGAACTCACAATAAAGGTAGGGTCCCCCAAGAATTCTTAGAATGTCGTATCTGCGAGGGCAAATACCATTGGGAATCCGATTGTCGCAAGAATCCCGCGGGAGAGGGGAAGAGAGGAAGGGATTCGCCAGAGTGTAGAGAGTGTGGGGGAAATCATTGGGAAGATCAGTGTCGGACTTGGAAATCGAAAAATGGCGGGAATGGGAATGGGAGTAATAATAATAATAAAGGTAATGGAAATGGACAAGGAGACTCAAGTTCCAGCTCCGATTCCGATTCGGGAGAATGTCTCGCGCCAACCGGTGAAGATATCACCCCCTTCTTTCCCAATGGTAAATATCCCAACCGGCCTTGCAGAAAATGTAAAGAGTCGGGTCATTGGAATAATGCCTGTGAGAAAGAGGGTTTTCATCCCATCACTAACCCAAACCCGGGTGCGCCGCACGCACGAAAAGTCGCTTTCCCAGATGGTCAGAGTAGTGGACAAATCGACTCGGCATATGTTCAATATCATGCTCCGCAAGAAACACAAGGCAGGACGTGTAGTAGCACCGCAAGCCCTTCTGTGAATTTTGGACATGCAAAGCAGCGTTTTGAGACGGAGACGGATATGGAGTTTGAGTATGAGGATGAGTATGAGGATGAGTATGTCGATCCTCGGTATTCTTATTCTAATTATCAGACTCCAAATCAAAATCAAAATCAAAATCCGCATCAAAACCAAACCCCAAACTCCACCCGCGAAACCGACACCCCCGACTACCTTCCCCACTCTTCTCACCCCCAACCCTACCTCACCCACCCCGCAACCCCCAACCCCGAGCACCCCGACCACCCCGATTCCCGCATCTACCAGGCGCGCTACCGCTCATCCACCTGCACACTCTGCCACGGCAGCGCGCACAAATCCGGAGACTGCATTACCTATCGCTGGCTCCTGCCTCGCACACACAGCGAATGGCGCGCGCATTCTCATCTGCATCATCCATCCAACACGATGTATCCGCGACCGCACGGCTACTGGAAAGGGGACCCGATGAAAATCCCCAGTGCGAATACGTATATCTGGCCGCATCCGGAAAATGTGTTGCAAGGACGGTATTGGGGGGAGAATGGGTGGGAGG